ATCTAATGCAAGCTCTAAATTTAGGCATCGTTCCAACTCCCACGGGTATGATTGTCATACCCCATTTAGATGATGTCTTTTTAACACAAACTCCTCCATCCATTTATGCATCATTAGACATTGATCCGTGGCGACAAACTTCACCCACTGTGACCACTGATTTGTTAACAATGGCAAGAAACACCTTGACCAGCCCACAGGACGAGATCCCCTGGACTGGTCAACATGTAACTATTGCTCTACTCCATCCAAACCTAGATGTAGATTTCCTTCAGAAATTTACTGCTCTATCTAAAGTAGATTTTGCCACTGATTTCCTGTACACAGACAAACAGTCTTTTTCAGCTGCAAGTATTGTCCTGCCAAAAATCTGTGCCGACATGTTTCAGTTGGCCAGTCATTCAGTGCCCCACCTCAGCTTTTGTAAACCTAGTGACCGTGACTGGAAAGACACTGGTCCTAGATTGAAAACTGCCTCTCAATGCAGTATATGGGAGAAAGGAGATGATGGGTGGATGTATAGCCCCGAAGTGGGACTTTGGAGAATCTCCGTGACTTATCTTCTTTCAGGCCAACCTTCTGTGCATCCCTTGTGACAATCAGCGGCCCTACTATCAGATAGTGACGAGGCTCTGTTGACAGATTTACCAGACATGTTATGGTCAACTGGGCCGTCTGATGTAGGGCTGTTGACCAGTATTCCCCCGATAAAGATCGACCCCAAAGGACCTTATCGTCCCAACATCAAGCAGTATCCCCTTAAACCTGAAGCTGAGGAAGGAGTGGCGTCAGTAATCCATGATTTACTGACAGCAGGTATTATTGTGCCTTTTAACACCTCCCCCTGTAACACCCCCATCTTCCCAGTACCGAAAGCTAACAAGAAAACATGGCGTCTTGTCCAAGACCTGAGAGCAGTAAACAAAGCAGTTGTGACCAGAGCAGCTAATGTCCCAGACCCACATACACTTCTGAACAATGTGGACTCTGCAGCAGAGTGGTTTACTGTCATTGACCTCAGTAATGCTTTTTTCTCTGTTCCTCTACACAAAGACTCACAGTTTTGGTTTGCTTTCACCTATAGAGGAAAAAAGTACACTTACACCAGGCTACCACAAGGTTTTACTGACAGTCCCACAATTTTTACAGAAGCCATTACAACATGTTTGCAAAACTTTAAACCCACACACAGTCAGCTGCTCATTTATGT